TGTGTGTGTGTGTGTGTGTGTGTGTGTGTATGAGTATATGTATGTGGGGGAGTGTTTGTGTGCATGTATGTGTGTCTGTGGGTGTATATTTCAGAACTATCAACATGATTAATGTTGGACAATTCTGGACAGCTCTCATTTCCCTTTTTCTAGTTTTCTTAACAAGCTGCAGTTCAGGAGGATCATCCTGGGTACAAGGTGGAATGGGTCTCTGTTGCTCAGGGATGAGTAGGAATCTCACTAAGAAGTCCTCCTATAAGCCTAAGGAAACACTCAGGGCAGCATCACTTCATCCCATTGTTCAATCCAAATATCTCTATATCAACAGGTCTCATCTCCACTAACACAGATTAACCCCACTGATTCTGTCTCTGCAGCATCTCCCCCAAAGCTACCCACTTCATCTCTACCACCAGCTACCAACCAACCTGTCACTTTTGAAACATAAATCATATCATACTTTTCCCATGACAAAACCTTCTGGATGCTCTGTGACATTTTGATTAAAACCCTCTCAGGTCATCATGGCCTGCAAGGTGCCAGCTCCCTAGAGTCCTTCATGACTTTTCAGTGATAGTGCCCATGACTATCACACTCCAGCCTCCTGTGGCTTCTTTTACTTCCTAGTAGCCCCGCCTCTCCCCTAGGAAGCTTTTCTATGGAGCATCATTATCAGGGGCATTACCCCTTAAGACTATTTCCTCTGTGTGTGTGTGTGTGTGTGTGTGTGTGTGTGTGTGTGTGTGTGTGTGTGTGTGTTTCCTCAATGTCTGAAATAATCCTCCTTATGCCTCTACTTATTCTAACCCTACCTTCCCTGAATGAAATGGAAGTTCTCTAAGAACAGAGGTCATAGCAAAAACCTGCATGGGTTCAGGAGTGTCCCTAACATTGTAGTTGCTGAATAAGGTGTTAAAATGAGAAAATAACAAGTAGGCAAGGCAAAGCTCATACTCAGTTCTAAGCAAGCTCTTTATGGGAACAATTTGTCCATTCTAGATTTCTTGGAACAATATAAAATGTCTTAATATTTCATCCCATTCTTAATGCTAATGTCGTATTTGATGTGGTAGTGGTAAAGGGGGTAATTGGTCATTATTTCATGTCTGTAGAATTTAGCCTAACATGTTTGGATAAATGATCAAAACATCCTTTAAGATGCTACAAGTAAGAATTAAGAGGCTTAGCACAATTTTATGTGTTTTGTGATAAACACTCTTTTGACTGAATTGTCCCAGGACCTGGCTATCATCATCAGGAAACCACAAATCAGAGTGGAGGTACTATACTAGCTATGACATCATGACTTCATGGTCTTTGAAAGTACTCCTCTCTACTGGCCCCACCCACCAAGCAGATATTCATTACAGGATTCCTCTAATTTACAGTGTGATAGGAAGCAAGAGTCAAAGAGGGAGAAAAAAGAGGCACTATGAAGTATTAGACAAATGGAAAAGGTAGCTACAGAGGTCAGAATTTGCTCAGGATAGTTACCAGTTCATGAATTGCTGCCTGGGTTACATAGCACTTTTTCCAGATGGTATGTGAAGATAACTGGGTGGAATCATAGCAAGCGTTGATGAGTGGGTTCCCTTAAAATGAACAAAGACACCTAAAACCCATGCAGAGAAAATACAGGAGAATAGTAGATGAAGGGAAAGAAGTGAGGGGGTTGAGTGGGACCAGAGGCCATGAAGAAAGCTTGTGAGCAAGCCAGTCAGCTGAGAGTTTGAAGCCAACAGTGCAAAAGATCCATGTGAACCCAGAGGTCTCCACTGGGTGTGTGGGTGCTGACAGGGATGGGAAGCAGAAGACAGAGGGGCCATGTTCTATGTTGTCTGGAATCTTTCCATCAATTTGAACATCAGAAAGTGAGTAGAAAGAAAGAAAAAGTACCCCATTTTTTAAGTTCTTGACAAGTTCCTTTAGAAAAACAGAGCAAATATTAAAACTGGAACTCAAAAGAGTTTATTTTATGTTCAGTAACAAAGTAAACTTATAATATGTGCTATGAAAGGTTACTCCAAATAAGCTAGTCTGGAATTAATAAATGTCAATATATCAGTGAATGAGCCATTCATAAGAAGGAGCTAAGAAGACAAGGAAGGTGGGATATCCAAGACTGCAGGACCTGTGGCTAACTGAACAATAGGCAAGTTGAAGCCACTCTTCAGGGAAGAATTTTGCTATGCAATCCTTTCATTCATTCAGAGTTCCCAACAGACATCACCACACATGCATCCCTTCTCCAGCCCTCTTCTAGGGCACACTGTAGCTGCTAACCAGGAAGAATCCACTCATCTGAAAGAGAGGTCTAAAGTCATGATTAATAGCATCCAACCAAGTTTCCAGGTGACAAAATCAAGAAAACTAACAGTTGCTTTGAGATGTTAAGGACAGAGCATTGTGGACTTGTGTATTTATATCTTATTATATCATCTGTCAAACAAATTAATATTAAAAATATTGTAGGGGATGCTGTAACCACGCCTGCTTAAGGGTTGGCTACACGTGGTCAGTGGGAAAGTTTAAAAGAGTAAGTACATGGTGGCCTGCTTTCGCTTTCATCTTCTGCTTGCTGTATGGACTGCTGCCCCACCAGCTGGCTAGGTTGCTCTGTAAGTAAGGCTTTTCCCTATTAAATTCCCTTGTATTTTTACCTGGCTCTGTATTGGCAATTTCCCACATTATCTGGTGTCAGAAGCAGGCTTGGCTACAGCGTCCCCTACATAAAACATCCTGTCTCCCTCTTTTCCCTACTGTGACCTACTTTACATTATCACCATGGTCCAGGTTGGGGGGTGTAAATGCTTTTTAGAGGTGATGTGTTAGTTGGACATGTCAAGATAGAGAAATATGACCATGAAAGACAAAAGAATTGCAGGTAAAAATACAAATAATCTTTGAGGAATACTTGCCAGAATAAATCCAAAGAACTCAGATGAAGGGAAAAATAGAAGTATCAGTATCCAAGATGACCCCAAGGCACAAAAATGAAATTTACACTGTAGCAAT